AAAAAAAAAAAAAATTCTAAAAATCCAATGAGGCAGTTTCCCAACCATTTTTTTCAGGTCTAGAAGCTAGGGGAGGAGCTGGGGAGACAATGCTTCCCAATGCTGCCCAGGAGAGAGGCCGTGTGGCCTGCAGAAGCTTCCAACACTCCATTTACCTTCCTTGGAGAATTTCTCACTTGCACACAACAAATAAAATCCAGAAGCTGAATGGTAACACGGGACAGAAGTCAGAAAAACGAGAAGGATCAAAGGTCAGAAAAGGAGAGGTGTAGAATAGTAGAATGAGAAGAAAAGAGGCCGCCACGTTAAGAAATCAGAGTCAGGCGCCAGTGGCTCATGCCTGTAGTCCCAGCATTCTGGGAGGTGAAGGTAGGTGGATTGCTTAAGCTCAGGAGTTCAAGACCAGCTTCAGCAAGAGCAAGACACCATCTCAATTAAAAACAGAAAAATTAGCTGGGTGTTGTGGTGGGTGCCTGTAGTCCCAGCTACTCTGGAGGCTGAGGCAGGAGGATCATTTGAACTTGGGACTTTGAGATTGCAGTGAGCTAGGTTGATACCATGCCACTCTATCCCAGACAACAGAGCAAGACTCTCTCTCCAAAAAGAAAAAGAAAGAAAGAAAGAATCACAAAAAATAAAATTAAACTAAAATTAAATTAAACCAAAGAACTATAATAAAAGATTAGAAATAGAAGACTTAAAAGGTAAGGATGGAGACAATGAAGAAATAGTATGAACAGTGAAAAAGTTCTAAAAATTAGAACCAGCTGAAAGTAGACAGAAAAATGGGTGCGACATGTAAATGACTAAAACCAGAATATAACAAAAACTGGGCAGGCATAGTTGGCCCATGTTGTAATCCCAGCACTTGGAAGGCCAAGGCAGGTGGATCACCTGAGCTCACAGGTTTGAGACCAGTTTGAGCCAAAGCGAGACCCTATCTCTAAAAAATAGCCAGGTGGCTGTGGCAGGTGCCTGTAGTCTCAGCCTTGTGGGAGGCTGAGGCAAAAGACTCACTTGAACCCAAGAGTTTGAGGTTACTGTGAGCTAAGATGCCACAGCACTCTACCAAGGGTGACCAAGTGAGAGTCTGTCTCAAGAAAAAAAAAAAAGAATATAAGAAAAACTAAGGCAATTCAGTGCAAAAACCAACAATCATCAGTGTGTGCAATGTGAAGATAAAATAAATAAAAGAAAATAAAACATAAATCATTTCAAAGATTAGAGGAGTGAACCAAAAGGCAAAATTGGGTCTGGTCAAAGGCTGGAAAGCCCTGTGGGGTCCCTCTTAGCTGTTTGGGACTAAGAGGGACCTCAAAGTCCAGGCAACTTCCTCATCCCTTCCCTGACTCCTTGAGGAGCAGCCCAGAGCCCTCATCCTCACCCCTCTCTGCCTCCTGGGGCAGGAGAAGGGCACTGGTTGTACCCAGTCCCTGGGGTCTCTGCTGGTGCCCTTGGCCAAGGCAAACACGTTTGAGACCTGGTGCCTCATTCACCTGCTAGGTGACCTTCAATACATGTCTGGCCTCCAGATCCTTATCTGTCAAACTCTTTGTTGGACTCCTTGACCTTGAAGCTCTTCTATTACCAGCCAGGCCAGCCTTTGCCAGCTTGAGACGTCTGGGATGGTGTAGGAGGAAGTGGGAGGGGGAGGGTGCCTGCTAATGTGCCACAGCGGGGAGAGAGGAGGCACACATCATGCATGTGGCACAAATCCTCACCACCACTGTTCCGCCTTTTTGTTTCAACAGAGCCAAAAAAGGCCCTTCCAAGAAGGATGCAGAACAGAAGAGTGAAGAAATTTCTCTTCAGCAGGTGGGAGCTTCTCCCCTCAGAGAAACCATTTAAACTTCCAAGAGCCCGGCAGTTGTCAGCAGCACCTGAGCCCGGGTTCTAACTGCTCAGGGGCTGCTCCCAGGAGCACCTGGGGATGCTGATGCCATCTTGGAAGAAAGGTTCCTGAGAACATCCTGGCTCAGCCCGAGAGCCACCCACAAGCCAGGGGGCTGGGGCTGCTCAAAAGGAAACCCAACCAGCAACTTACAAATATACAGAAAGCAGGAGGAACCCGTCCCCGGGGCCAAATCTGCCCCTCACAGTAGCACACCTACAGCCAGGACTCAGAACTACAAAAATGATACATGTACCTTAAAACATTTGTACCCCCTTGCTATTTGAAAATTAAAAAAAAATAAATGTCTCTGTTTATTCCGAAGAATAACATGTCTTTTTCTTTTTTTTTTTTTTAGTAGAGACAGAGTCTCACTTTATCGCCCTCCGTAGAGTGCTGTGGTATTATCACTCAGCTCACAGCAATCTCCAACTCCTGGCCTTAGGCGATTCTCTTGCCTCAGTCTCCTGAGTAGCTGGGACTACAGGCACCTGCCACAACGCCCCAACTATTCTTCTGTTGCAGTTTGGCCAGGCCCGGGTTTGAACCTGCCACCCTCCATATATGGGGCTGGCGCCCTACCCACTGAGCCACAGGTACCACCCAAGAACAACATGCCTTTGCAGAGTTAGGGTTAGGTCTCTGTCACAGAGTTGTCCCTAGAACAGACCCACTTGTCCTCGAGAGACTTTGAGAATTCATTTACTCCACTTATTTGGAAAGAGTAAATTTTCCCTTTGTGTGTGACTTATGTCCTCCACTACAGCAGCCTTTCTCATCTGCCTTTGTGGCCCAGCAGCCCTTGTCATGGACTTGCAGGTGGCACATGCTCAACAAATAGTTAATGAGGAAATGGTGAAACCAGACTCAGGCAATGGCTAGAGACCTTTGCTTGTCATTTGCATCCCTGGCAATACCACTTTGCAGAAATGGGTTATGGTTAAGTCCCTCACTACTTTTTGTTTGTTTGTTTGTTTGTTTGTTTGTTTTGGGGAAAGATCTCATTTTGTCACCCTGGGTAGAGTGCCATGCGTCCTAGCTCACAGCAACCTCCACTATTGGGCTCAAGTGATCCTCTTGCCTTAGTCAGCCTCCCCCAGTAGCTGGGACCACAGGCATGCACCACCATGTCTGGCTAGTTTTCCTACAGAGACAGGGTCTCACCCTTGCTCAGGCTGATCTTGAACTCCTGAGCTCAAGCCTGCCACCCAACTTGGCCTCCCAGCGTGCGAGGATTATAGACGTGAGCCACTGTGCCCAGCAGAAAATATTGTAATTTAAAGTGATAGATCTGTCAGGGTAAACTTTTCCCCAAAGAAAGTAATAAAAATATACCTATTCTGATTAATGGCAAGAAGGAATATCTATCTATCTATGAAGAAAAAAAAGTCTTCTTTCATTCACTACCAGCTACTTGTACAAATTAAATTTTGTACTAATGAAATTAGTAAAAATTACCAAGAATTTGAAGAGATCACCATTGGCTTGGTGCCTGTAGCTCAGCGGCTAGGGTGCCAGCCACATATACCAGAGTTGTCAGGTTCGAATCCAGCCCAGGCCTGCCAAATAACAATGACAACTACAACAAAAAATAGCTGGGCATTGTGGCAGGTGCTGTAGTCCCAGCTACTTGGGAGGCTGAGGCAAGAGAATTACTTAAGCCTAAGAGTTTGGGGTTGCTGTGAGCACTGTACCATGGCATTCTACCTGGGGTTACAGCTTGAAAAAAATTGGCTCAGCTCCTGTAGTTCAGCAGCTAGGGCGCCAGCCGTGTACACTAGAACTGGCTGGTTTAAATCCAGCCCGGGCCCGCCAAACAACAATGACAGCTACAACCAAAAAATAGCTGGGCATTGTGGAGGGCACCTGTAGTCCCAGCTACTTGGGAGACTGAGGCAAGAGAGTCACTTAAGCCCGGGAGTTTGAGGTTGCTGTGAGCTGTAATGCTACGGCACTGTACTGAGGGTGACATAGTGAGACTCTGTCTCAAAAAAAAAAAAAAA